TTAGGTTTTCATTTATTCAACACAAATTAATTACTACTCAGTTTTTGGAGCAGTGCACAGTATAGAGGATATGACACTGTCATGCCTTCAAGTAGGTTCACTCATAATCTTGTTAAGAAGATAGGCAGAGAAACAGTAATTTTTTTGTGGGGGGGAGTCCAGTCGTGGGGCCTGAACTCTGGGCCTGGGCTCTGTCCCTCAGCTCTTCAGCTCAAGGCTAGCACTCTACCACTTGAGCCACAGCACCACTTCTGGCTTTTTTCTTTTTGCTTATGGGGTGCTGAGGAATCAAACCCAGGACCTCATGCATGTAAGGCAAGCACTCTACCACTGAGCCACCTTCCCAGCCCAGAAACAGTATTTATTTTAAAGCCTAGTGGAGGTATCTGGAATTAACCATCTCTTCCCCCAGGTGGAATGGGAAGGAGCTAGGTGTTTGCTGTGCCTGTAGTTGGATTAATGTGGAGAGAGACAGAGCATCAGAGATAGAAGAGCAAGTAGGGATCAGATCAGGGGATTCATCAGCCATGCCCATGAAATTATGTTTTATTCTGCAGAAAGTAGAGAGTTAGGATGTTTGCTTTTTGTGTGTGTGTCAGTCATGGGGCCTGAACTCGGCCTGGGCGCTGTCCCTCAGCTCAAGGCTCAGGGCTAGCACTCTACCACTTGAACCACAGGGCCACTTCTGGCTTTTTCTGCTCATGTGGTGCTGAGGAATCAAACTCAGGGCCTCATGCATACAAGGCTAACACTCTATCACTGAGCCACCTTCCCAGCCTCAGGATGTTTGCATTTTATAAAGATGAAAGGATGGGTTCAGAACATGGTAGAAGGTAGAAGGCTATAGACATGACCAAATGGTAGAGTGCCAGTCTAGCAAGACTGAAGGTAGACAAACAAGAGTAGTTGCCTGCAGAAAGATAAGATCTGAGTCAAGGCAGTAGCCGTGGGAATGGTGAGGAGGGGCAGATGTGAGAGATGTTAGGAAAAAGAATTGTCAGGGCTTAATCGCAAAGTAATCTGAGTAGTGGGAGATGGGGCTGGATCCAGATATTTGGAGAAAAGGATAAAATCCTATGGAATACACAATACATTCAGCTGTAAAATCAGGGTCCAAGGAAGTATCAAGCCACAGGAGGGGAAAGGGAGTCCAATACACAGCTCAGGAGGGTGGCAAAGTAAATGTACTATAGTCTAAGACCAACCCTTTACATGGGTCTTGGATTCTTTCCTATATGCCTGTCTAAGGTCTATTTCTTGCATTTGTGCCTGTTTCACATTGACAATCCTTACTCTGTTACTTCTTTCCAGTATTTAAGCATTCTCTATTGTCTCTCCTCAGCCCAAATGACCAAGCAGAAATGTTTCTGTTACCCCACACTCCCTTCCAACTACTACCCCATTTTATGTTTCCATCTTAGAAAAACAGAGTTGAATGAACTCTCCTCTACTTCCATCCTCATTTACTTCCTCTCTTTCCCATTGTCTTGAATTCCTTTTAGTCAGGCTTCCCTTCTTTCCCTTCTCTTCATCTCCTCCTCTCTTCTTAAGGCCACAGTGACCTCTGCATTGTCAAATCTAGTGATCATTTCTCAATCTTTTGTCTTCCTTGGTTGTTGTCATCAGGCTGGACTCTGTTGCATACTCCCTACTTCTTGAAGGTCTCTCAGGACATCACTCTTTTTTTGGGGGGGGGGTCCGGTTGTGGAGCCTGATCTCTGGGCCTGGGCGCTGTCCCTCAGCTCTTCAGCTCAAGGCTAGCACTCTGCCACTTGAGCCACTGCGCCACTTCCGGCTTTTTTCTTTTTACTTATGTGGTGCTGAGGAATTGAACCCAGGGCCTTGAGCATGCAAGGCAAGCGCTCTACCACTAAGCCACCTTCCCAGCCCCAGGACATCACTCTTGATGGTTTTCTTACACCCTAAATGCTCTTCGCAGTCTCCTTAACTAATTCCTCACTTACCCTTACTTTGAAATACTGATAATTCTAGACTCAATTCTTGGCCTTGTCTGGCAACATTTCATTTTAGGTGGATTGCATCTAGACATAGACATACAAATAATATCTCTTACTAATGACTCCCAAATTGAAATGTATAACCTCAACTCCATTCCACCAGGGGCTCAGACCAAGGTATGTCTCAAGCCTGCTGCAGCTGGTACACCACTGTGGTCCGAGTGGTAGGTGACTACCTTTGATACTTGGCTCTGGTTCAGAGATGGTTGGCAAACAGCTGTCATGAGAACCCTGAAGAAGAAAAGCTGGAGACTCTGACAGATTGGGAGATCTGGCCACATAAAAGGGCTTGCTTGGGTGTGTGTCTTCCTGAGAACACGTGGATCTAGGTACGGTCATTCACAGGGCCATTGACCTCTAGCCCAATAGGGAGAATTACCTTGCTTCCACTTTCAGTATCAGTGTCAGAGCTAAGAAACAACTTAAAGTAAAACAGATGTCCATACCAGTGGAGGCCTCCTGCCATAGAAACTCATTGTCAGAAAGAATCTAACATCCTGACACCTGGCCCTTGTTATGTCCTTCCTTAAGTCTTGCTGCTCCAGGGGATAGATTCTCCTGAGCCCTTCTCTAACCCAGGAGCAGAGACAGAGGGCATTTCTTTCACCTGTAGTTGTGAATCACTGAACCAGAGTCCTTTGTGAAACTCAAGCCCTCATTTGCTTAGGGACCTTTTGCATCTATGTTTTTATAAAGTAAGAAGAGACCTAACGCCTCTGTTCATTGTGACTAGACTGGGATCTCCCCGGGTTAGAGCCTGGTTCATTCATTGTCCTGCTACTGCCTGCCTTAGAGAGGGCCAGAGCTTATTCTGTTCACACCTCCTCACCGCGCAGTCTCTTTGGTCATTGGCTTGTCCTGGCACTGAATTTCTATGCCCATGTGCACATGGGATAGCTCTTGTTTAACTTGCCCTTTTAAAAACAACTTAAGCATGTTGAGGTTTCCTGTTGATCAGGGGCAGCCAGAGGCTGTGACCCAGCAGGGAATTGTCAGCCAATCCCTGACTCACCAGAGCTCATTTTCAGTGTGTGAGCAAGCAGTGACAGCAGCCTGGCTTGGGGCGCTGGCTGCTGTACTGTGGATAGCATGGCACTCTGGAAGCTGCAAGACTGCATAGGCCAGCTTTGAGGGCTATAGCATTATGGTCAGGTAGGTCTTTGCCAAGGGCAGTAGTGACAAAATACTGCAATATTTGAACTAAAACAGCTTAGGAAAAAAAATTCTTGAAGTTGATAATGATTACTTGAAAAGTAATGCTGAGAAAATCTGCTCATGCTTCTCTTCAGCAAGCTCACTCATTTTCACCTTTTGTTCTTCATTCACTGATCAACTTACACTGACATTTGGCATAGAAGAAGTCATCCAGCCAGGAGGACCAAGAAGGTCTGTTGATGTTCCACAGCTATGTTCTAAACTCGTCTATGCCCAGTGTTGTAGAATGGCAGTTGAGCTTTGCTTGGGGGCTCAAGGGTCCACAAAGAGGGTGGTGGCTACTGCTTAATTAGTCTCAACCTAGCTTCATGTAAATTCGCATGAGATAGTTAACCTTTGTAGGCCATGAGTCTTTCTTACTTTTTTTTTTTTTTTGTCGGTTGTGGGGCTTGAACTCTGGACTTGGGCACTTTCCCTGCACTCTTCAGCTCAAGGCGAGCACTCTACCCCTTGAGCCACAGCTCTTTTCTAGTGATTTTTTGGAGATAAGAGTCTCACGGACTTTCCTGTCCAGGCTGGCTTTGAACCATGATCCTCATATCTCAGCCTTCTGAGTAGCTAGGATTACAGGCGAGCCACCGGCACCTGGCTGTCTTTCTTACTTTTTAGATTAAGATAATAATACATGATAATAACCATATAGAATTGATGTGAAGATCAAGTGAGTAAGTGTATGTAAAAGTATTTATTTGGAATTGTTCTCAGAATTTGTTAAGACTTGTATAGCTTATCAACTCTACTCCTTAGACAGCGCTACCATGCAGTAGAAGTACCACAGACCCCAGTGAGTGTTGTGCATCTACTGTACAGCAGAGCTGTATTCGGAGTTGCTGTCTTCCTCATTGGCCTCTTGATTGAGAGGGTGGAAAGGACTTTTCTTGAGGACCTCTCCTCACATTTTTTTGAGACTCTTGAGGCTCCTGATTATGGTCAGGAGCTAAACTGAGAAAGTGAGATCTTGTGTCCAGTAGCATAAATCTCAGGGGAGGGAGGGTTTAAGTATTTGAGCCTGTGTATTTGAGGTTCTTTGAGGAAGTAGGATGCTAGAGTTTTTTGTTTCAGCTCAAAGAGTTATTATTAGCACATCTTTTCAACCCTACACTCAACGATGTCACATTGGTAACTCATCTATAGTGAGAATGTTTATATTGGGAAATCAGGCACCAATCTGTGCTGCTTCCCCAGCGAGCCCAGTTGGCCATTGAGCAGCACACTACTGGTCTCACTGTTGTCTGGTTGATAGGTATAAATTCCTGGGATACTATGGCCTCTTCCAGAACAGGCTCTTGCTTCATGTATTACATAGGACCTCTGAGGATAAGTTGGGAGAGAGGCACATTGAGCTTGGCTCGGGACCTGTTCTCACCTTTAGAATGTCCTTGAACCAGGCACCAGTGATTCATACTGGTAATCCTAGCTACTCAGGAGGCTGAGATCTGAGGGTCATGGTTCAAAGCCAGCCTGAGCAGGGAAGTCCATGAGACTCTTATCTCCAGTTAATTACCAGAAAACTGGAAGTGGTGCTGTGGCTCAAGTGGTAGAACACTAGCCTTTAGAAAATAAGCTCAGGGACAGTGCCTAGGCCCCCAACTTCAAGCCCTAGGACTGGCACCAAAAAAAAAAAAAAAAGACCTGGAAGGTGCACTAGCTGAACAGTGTACTTTTGACTTTGCGAGAAAGAGAGTTGGTGCTCTTGAAGAACGAAGACACGATGTCTTTGTTTTCACTGTTGTTTTCTTTCCTTCCTTTTTTTCTTTTCACTCCTAGGTCTCAGTCAGTCTCTCCACCTCCAGTTCTGTCTCCACCGAGGAGTCCCATCTACCCCTTCAGTGACAGTGAAACGTCACCCTGCAGGTTCCCCAACCGCTCCAGCTCCCGGCTCCTCCTCAAGAACCGGCATCCCTGTGATTCTTCACCCCCAAATCCTCAAGATCTCTCCCCAGATACTTCACCACCCACCTGTCCCCTTAAGGTCACCAGCGTCAGCTATTTGGACAGAAGCCCTTCAGTGTACAAGAGAGAGGGCCAGAAGGACAATGTCCAGGGTGCAGCCCTGGATGGAGAGGGAGTAGCTGCTTGCCTCCCCATTGCCCAGAGCACCCCCTTCCTTGGGCCAGTGGCTGGCCCACGCAGTGTCTTGCTGACCCGCACTGGCACCCGTACCCACAACCTGGGTATACGGGAGAAGATCTCAGCATGGGAAGGTCGCCGAGAGGTGTCAGCCAGGATGAGCCTGTGTGGAGAGAAGCTGGAGGGCTCTGGAAGCGAGTGGGCGGCCAGTGAGGGCTGCCCCAGTGTGGGCTGCCCCAGTGTGGTGCCATCTCCCTGCAGCTCAGAAAAGACCTTTGATTTCAAGGGCCTCCGGAGGATGAGCAGGACCTTCTCTGAGTGCTCCTACCCTGAGACCGAGGAAGAGGGAGATGTACTCCCTGTGCGGGACTCTTTGTACCGGCCAGAGAAGCGGTCAGGCCGGAGTGAGCCCAGTACCTTCCTCAGGGGGCATGGCAGCAGGAAGGAGAGCTCAGCAGTGCTGAGCCGGATCCAGAAAATTGAACAAGCCCTAAAGGAGCAGCCAGGCCGGGGGCTCCCCCAGCTCCCCAGCAGCTGCTACAGTATAGACCGTGGGCGAAGGAAGACAAGCACCTTGGGCACCTTGGAGGAGCCAGCAGGGGGCACAGGTGTGAGCTCTGGCAGCCAGACAGTTGGATTGGCTGGAGTTGGGGGGGAGGCAGGCCCACCCCTGGACAGGGAAAGCAGTGGTTCCGCGAAGCCAGGATCCCCTGGAAATAGCCCTCGTTCCCAGCGGCTACCATTGAAGAGCTCCCCTGATCCCGCTGTGAACCCTGTCCCCAAACCTAAGCGCACCTTTGAATATGAGGCTGACAAGAACCCCAAGAGTAAGCCAAGCAATGGTCTACCTCCTTCGCCCACACCTGCTGCTCCACCTCCCTTGCCCTCCACCCCAGCCCCACCAATCACCCGGAGACCCAAGAAGGACATGCGTGGTCATCGCAAGTCCCAGAGCAGGTAACACATGCCCCTCTTACATGTTATAGTGGAAGCCAGGGCATTCTTTTATTTAAAAGATGCAAGAGCAGATTGTGCTGTGTATCACAGGAGTGCAGGTGCTCCAAAGCACCAGATAATCCTCAGTTTGGTAGTTGTGAAAAATGAGGTGGTTCTGCTCTCCTGGGGGAGATAAGAGGGTGAGGGGTGAAAGCTGTTAGTGCTATGTACTGAAGACATTGGCTTTGGGGAGAGCTGGACTGTGTGCTGAATTCTGTTGCAGCTTCCTTACTTCTTTGTGGGAAGGTCAAAGCTACTCTTATTTTTAGGTTGAGTAGGCAGTCCCTTGAGGACTAGTAAGAGTTTAGCCTCATTACTACATAAAGTGCTAGCACTAGAAATTTATTTCTGCGAGTGTACTGTTATCCAAATATTGTGTTCCATCATTAACTATGGCAATGTTGGTGAATTTAAGGTGATTTTTCCTTTTCTGGGGAAACCTTGGGCCTGTTACAGGAGGGGATTCTTAGATCCTGAGAGATGGATGAAAAAAGGGAGTAGAAAAGCATTTCACCTGCTACTTGGCTGAGTCCAAGAATTGCCTCTCCTGAGGTTCCCACTGTGTCCTTGGTCAGTTTTCCTTCCTAACTCGGGACTACAGGGCCACCTGCTCAGAGTGGCTTGGAAGCTGGAGTTTTTATAGCTGGTAAGAGTTGCCAGGCACTCGAGGCTGGGAAGGTGGCTCAGTGGTAGAATGCTTGCCTTGCATGCAGGAGGCCCTGGGTTCGATTCCTCAGCACCACATAAGCAGAAAAAGCTGGAAGTGGTGCTGTGGCTCAAGTGGTAGAGCTGAGAGACAGCACCCAGGCTCAGAGTTCAGGCCCCATGCCCAACCAAAAAAAAAAAAAAAAAGAGTTGCCAGGCACCTCTTTGCTGAATTCAGTAGCCAACTTCCTATAAAGCCTTTATTGTCCTACTACCCCTTACTGCTTTTCTCGTAGCCCCAAGTCAGGTAGACACTCAAGCTTTGTTTCACTTGGGGGAGTCTTCAGTATGTCCCTGTATTTTAGGCTTTATTCAGCACATCCCATTTCACATGTGAATCCCTGTCATGTTCAGACTCTTAAACCAGGCAGCTCATGGCTAAGGGAAATCCTCTGCTGTGTCCCACTGCAGAATGTTCACTGGCTCTTTCTTTACTAGGCTTATTCATCCATTTTTATAGACATCTGTCCAGAGCCTGTTGTCCACCAAGCCTTATGCTGGTCAAAGGGACACAGAGGCAAATAGGACAAGGTTCCTCCATTCAAGGCCTTCAGATGAGTCACAGATAACGAGCCAGCCTGAAGTGTTAAGTGTCATGGCCTATGTGAGTGCAGATCACTACAGAGACCCAGAGAGGCATCTCTGTTGAACTAAACAGCAAGGAGACATTGTCATGGAGAGACTTGCTGAGCTGAATTTAGAACCGCAAAATGCAGGTTAGCTTGCTTACAAGAGGGAGTGTTAGGGGTTTATCAACCTGAAAGTGTTTTTGTTGGGTCGTGGGACTGAAACTTGTGGCCTGGATGCTGTCCCTGAGCACTTTTGCTCAAAGCTAGCCCTCTACCATTTTGAGCCACAGTGCCACTTCCTGTTTTCTGGTGGTTAATTGGAGATGAGTCTCATACACTTTCCTGCCCAGGCTGGCTTTGAACCATGATCCTCAGATTTCAGCCTCCAGCACCTGGATTCAACCTGAAAGTTTTACACAGCTACCCATATATTACATTTGTAATCTATATACACATGCCTGCCCATACATTATATGTGTGTATAATGTATACACACATGCCAAATATGACAGAGTCACAAGAATTTAGCAAACTTTATGCTCTTGGATAAAAAGGGAAAATTCAGAAAGTTGTTGTTTGCCTTTCTACCTGGAACAGGTTCCCTTAAAGGTTATTAGGTAGGCTGGATACTGGCGGCTCATGCCTGTAATCCTTGCTACTCAGGAGGCTGCGATCTGAGGATCATGGTTCAAAGCCAGCCTGAGCAGGAAAGTCCATGAGACTGTTATCTCCAATTAATTACCAGAAAACTGGAAATGGTGCTGTGGCTCAAGTGGTAGAACACTTGCCTTGAGCTGAAGAGCTGAGGGGCAGCACCCAGGCCCAGAGTTCAAGTCCCATGACCGACCAAAAAAAAAAAAAAAGTATTAGAGAGTAAGTTTGTATCTATTATGCCAGTGTGCTTCTCATATACTTAAAATGAAAGCCATATACTAGTATTCAACCAAAGAAAAAGAAATATATTTCTTTAAAATCCAGGGAAGAAATTAACTATATTGGCCTTGATGAGAAGCAATATGTTGATCCCCAAAACCACACCTTACTGAGGGATTTTCTGAGGGAACTGGAACATAATTTATGTCTCCTTTGTTGCCTTGAGGACTAGTAGATGTTGACCAATGAAGCTGTGGTCTCATATCAGCCTCTGGAAACCACCACACTCAGCCTTAGGATATTAAATAAGTGGAGTAGCTGGTCATAGAGATTTGAGAATCAACAGGTGTAAATGGTACTGGTCCATGGATCTTTGGCTCCTAGAAAGTACAGGTGAGAAAAAGAGACCCAAAGACAGAACTCTGCAAGGCCTGTAGCATTTAAAAAGCTGGGTGAAAAGGAGAATCTACCTAGAAAATAATTGGCGGAGAGGCACTTGGAAATTCTCATAGAGAAAAGGAGGAAACTGCCAGTATATATTCCACAGAGGGGCTGGGCAAGCCAAGAGCACATTGAGGTCTTCAGGATGTGTTTTGTCCTTGTCTCCCATCCCATTGCTCTCCGAAGGAACATTTAGGACGCAAGATAAAGGATATCATTTCAACAGGGAGGTTCTTATGTGTGAGAGGAGGGATTCAGACAGTGCTACCACTTCCCAGGAACCAGCTGGGATGAGACTTGGAGAGGAAGAAGACACAACTGAGCTGCTTTCTCAGATGACGGGAGGCTAGTGGGCCCAGGACACTTAGCAGCCAGGAAATTGTGGTTGGTTCCATAGTAGAGAGGTTATCTGGGGGTGGGAAGGAGTAGTAAAAGAGGCTACTGGACACTGTCTTTCTCTCTCTACCTTAGAAGAGGGCTTTTTTGGTTTTTTGGTCGGTCGTGGGGCTTGGGTGCTTTCCCTGCGCTCTTCAGCTTAAGGTAAGTGTTGTAGTGCTTGAGCTACAGCACCACTTCCAGTTTTCTAGTGGTTTATTCGAGATAAGAGTCTCAGAGACTTTCCTGCCCTGGCTGGCTTTGAACTGTGATCCTCAGATCTCAGCCTCGTGAGTAGCTAGGATTACAGGTGTGAGCCACCAGCACCCGGCAGCTAACTTATTTTGAGAGCTCAGCCTTTCCTGTTCCGCAGGAACAGCACCCCTCTAACAGTTCTGGACACAATATTCCAGCTCAATGCAGTAGAAGAGTCCTCGCTAGGAATAATAGGCTATTCTCAAGAAGGACATTTTCAGCCAGGGGCCAGTGGCTCATGCCTTTAATTCTAGCTACACAGGAGGCTGAGATCTGAGGATCATGGTTCAAAGTCACCCTGGGCAAGAAAGTCTATTAGACTCTTATCTCCAGTAAACCACTAGAAAACAGGAAGTGGTGCTGTGGTAGAGCACTTGCCTTGAGCTGAAGAGCATAGGGACAGTGCCCAAGCCCAGAGTTCAAGCCCCACGACTGACGGACCAGGAAAAAAAAAAAAGACATTTTCTAAGGCGGAGGCCAAAGTTGCTGTTGAAAATTCAGGCTCTGGCTACAGACAGGTCCTGACTCTGTTACTTTAGTCTCATTTGTAAAATGACACAATACCTGCTAGCACTATTTTGAAGGTCAGTGAGATAGCACGTGTAGAGATATGTTTTGTTTTTATTTTTATTTATCTATTTGGAGGGCAGTCCAGTCGTGGGGCTTGAACTCTGGGCCTGAGCGCTGTCCCTCAGCTCTTCAGCTCAAGGCTAGCGCTCTACCACTTGAGCCACAGCGCCACTTCTGTCTTTTTTCTTTTTGCTTATGGGGTGCTGAGGAATCAAACCCAGGGCGTCATGCATGCAAGGCAAGCGCTCTACCACTGAGCCACCTTCCCAGCCCCTAGAGATACGTTTTAAAGCTGTGGTAGTTGTTATCTATTGGTGTTAATACTGGTATTAGTAGGCCCTCAGGCAAGGACCCTTCAGACCTTCTGTCTCCTCATTTGGATGGTAAGTATGGATCTGTCTCCATCCTTTTCAGCAGCTGGTTTTATGAGGAGGGCTTCTGGTCTTTCCTATTACCCATGGCCACTCCTTAGCAAGAGAGCAGCGGTCTGGCTCAGCTGGAATGACTCTTGCTCTTGTGGTTTTTTTTTTTTTTTTAATTTTTATTTTTGGGTCCGGGTCCGGTCGTGGGGCCTGAACTCTGGGCCTGGGCGCTGTCCCTCAGCTCTTCAGTTCAGGGCTAGCGCTCTACCACTTGAGCCACAGCGCCACTTCCGGCTTTTTTCTTTTTGCTTATGTGGTGCTGAGGAATTGAACCCAGGGCCTCAGGCATGCAAGGCAAACACTCTGCCACTGAGCCACCTTCCCAGCCCAACTCTTGCTCTTGTTATCCACAGAAAATCCTTAGAGTTTGAGGACGCATCCAGTCTCCAGTCCCTGTATCCTTCTTCTCCCACTGAAAATGGTACTGAGAGCCAACCCAAGTTTGGATCCAAAAGCACTTTAGAAGAGAATGCCTATGAAGATATTGTGGGTAAGCAGTGGTGGATGGCAGGCTGGTTCACCTCCAGGGGCTGCAGGAACCAGTCACCTTGTACTGTGGGCTCTCATGTTCCTACCATGGGGAACTCTGGGAAATAGGTCTCAGAGGAAGAAACACTTCAGCAAACAGAGCAGCTGAGTGACTAAAGCCTGGCTTTTGAGTAAACTGAAACTCAAAGTCCTTTGGGCTCCCACAAACCTACATCTTTCTTTTCTTTTGATTTTGGAAAACTTGAGGGCCTACTAGGCACTCTTCCCGAGCTATGTGTCCGTAAGCAAATCTTTTAACTTGTGATAGCTGTTTTTCTTTTAAAAAATGATGATGGAAATGTAATGACATGAACAGCAACAGGGATAGTAATAATCTCCATTAGGTTATTGGTGGGATTAAAGGAGTAGAGACTGATTGATTCAGTGTTTGATGAGACCTATTTCTTGGTTCAAAAATACCAGTCATCTCCCAGTGTCCTCTCATGGCTGAAGTGGCAAGAGGGTTCTCTAGGATTTATAAGGATTGTGAGGGTTCTTCACCTAATTACCTGCTAAAGATGCCTTCCAATGCTAACACAGTGGGGATTAGGTTGCATTAGAGGTATTTTGAGGGGATAAAGACATTCAGTCTATAGTACAAGCTAGCCAGACTTCCACATCACAGACAAAGCACTTTATTAGATCATGGCACAGCAAACAGCATGAGTTCCATGTTCTCATAGGTACCCCTGTCTCACAAGCCCCAAGTAGAAGCTTGTGTACCTTGTGGGGGTGCCAAAGTATAGGAGAAACCAGACTTTTCAGGAGCTGCTGATAAACCTGCCCAATCTTTGCTCTACAAAGAGATGTTATCATTTCTGAGGAAGAAACAAAAGTGCCTCTGCCCAGGAGGGAGACGCTATCTTTGTCTTCCAAGACTGCTATATAAACATCCTTGAAAATACAGTCTGGAACTGTTCATTCCTCTTGAGGCTCCAAAGAAGAGAAAAATGCAGTACTCCTTAGAGAGCTGTCTTTTAAGAAGGGGAAAGCTTTATTTCAAGTATCAGCAATGACAAATGGATGGTCAAGTCTGGGTAGGGTTTATTTGTGGCTTTTTTTTGTTCTTGTTTTTGTTGTTTGAGATAGGATCTTATGATGTAGCCCAAGCTGGGTGCCAACTGCTTCCTCAGCCTCCTAAGTGGTAGGATTATAGGCATGCGCCACCATGCCTGGTTATATTTGGCATTCACTTTATTAGTCTTATCTTCAACAGAATGATTTGAGTCTGCTGAATGAAGTTGTGTCTCCACATAGGTTAATGAAGGGGCGGGTCATATGCTCACTTGTTCCTTGTCTGAGTAGCTAGTATCTGTCCTGTCTCTGTCTTAGGCCTTGAAGCTGGAGAAAATAGTCTTAAACACTTTAAAGAGAAGTAGTCCCAGTAGAGAAAACCTTTCAGATTCTCAGAATATGGAGGTCTTATGAAGGGGGTGGGAGTAGGGGTTTCCTGTAGTTACTTATCTGAGCTGAGCCATCACTTCATAGTGTTCTCCTTACAGCTTGCTGGGCTGCATTTCTGAGGAGACAACAGCCACATTCAGACCCACAGACAGATTACATTCCCAGGAATGGAGCCTACAGAATGGAGCCACGCAAATGGGATGATAGCTGGAAGAATGTAGGAAGGGGAGGCCTTTTCCTCTATCCCTGTCCTGGGTGAAAATGACAGCTTTATTCCCACCCTCAGCTCCAGAGCTGTGAGGATCAGAGCCAAAGACCCAGAAGTTAGATGAGCAGTTATAGAAAGAGCCTCAACCTCACTATCCCATCCATCCCTCACCCCTAGCTGTAGGTCCTCTGTGCAAGGAGCATCCAAGTTGCCCTACATTTTCTTGCTTCCTCATGGAAGAAAATCACTGTATAGTGTGAGGAGGAAGCTCTCTTGTTCCATCCTCATCACATGTTCCTCCTCCTGTCACAGAAGAAAATACCTTAATTTTCTCTAGTTTGATATAATGAATCATAGTGCAGTGATATCATTGCTGTCCTTGGTAGCACTAAGCTGGCTGTCACTGGCAGAGAGAGACACAATTTCTCAATATCCTTCCAGCATACCAGGCCCAGGCAGTACTGTGGTACTCACTCTGTTCCCTAGCATATCTGCTGCCCAAGGATTTCAGATGGGGATATGTTCTTGCAGCAACTGAGTTGAATAACAGGAAGGGCTGGATGGCTCCAGCTATTCCACCCTGTCCAGAGTTCATGATCCAGGGTTCTGTGGAGGGATATGTGGAGGCAGAGTAGAGGGGAAAGAAATTTTGGAAGTAGTGTCTTAGGTAGCAGAGGTGTTTTGTTTTTTTTTTTTTTTTTCCTGGGCTTTCTTAAGTCAGGTTAGAATGAAGAAGAGACTAGTCTGCTTGGGCCTCTGTCACTCCCTCATTACAAAGATTCCCCCTTCCCCCTTTGGAATGTTACACAAAGAGGCAAGAAAACAGAGGACCAGCTTAATTGCTTCTTGGGTAGATGAGATAGAATTATAAGTAAGGACTGTATGGGGGGAAAGATGGGCATCTTCTTTACTTGCTCACCTGGACCCTCAAAGCCTTTGTGTAGAGAATACCAGGATGAAAAGGAGGGGAAGGTATAGGCAAGAGGGCAGGGAGTTTTTTATTTTGGAGGGGGGTGGTGTTTGGGTTCTGCAAGTGGAGTACAGGTGGATTGGAGGGTCTGTAGGTAGGACAGGACAGTGTCCTGGATGCTTTCTTACCTTTTTAAAAAAAATTTGCTTATTTTTTTTTATTATAAAGGTGATGTACCAAGGGGTTACAGTTACATAAGTCAGGTAATGAGTACTTTTTTTTTTTTTTTACTCCTTCCCTCTCTCTCAATTATTTTCTTACCCTTTATTCCCCACAGTGGCCTAGGCTAAGTTTCTAGAACCTGGCTAGGGAGGCTAGAGGGAAATATTCTCTTTCTGTTAGATTCTGGTTGGTTTATCTTTTTCTCTTTCCTTGGAGAGTTGTTCAAGAACTGGCTGGGTGCTGGTGGCTCAGGCCTATAATCCTAGCTACTCAGGAGGCTGAGATCTGAGGATCACTGCTCAAAGCCAGCCTGGACAGGAAAATCCATGAGACCTTTATCTCCAATAAACTACTAGAAAACGAGAAGTGGTGCTATGGCTCAAGTGGTAGAGTGCTTGCCTTGAGCTGAAGAGTAGAGACATGGTGCCCAGAGTTCAAGCCCTATAACCAAAAAAAAAAAAAAGAATTTATACTCTCCCTCTCCCCCTATACACACACCTATAGGCGTCAGGGAATCTCTTGTTGCTGAACTCTGAAGGTTGGGTTTCATTCTTAGTCTTGATTCATCATTAACCAATGAATGGCTCAGACTTCTTGAGCTCAATTTTGGTCTTTCCCAGCCTCCTTGTCGTGGGATTAAAGTTGTTTCTGGTTTGGGCTGGATTCTTCAGCTCAGTGCTACCTCCTGTCCACAGAGACAAAGGGAGCTTTGTATTGGGCATGTGATAATGGGACTGCAGGGAGGCAGACACCACCTGAATTTCCTGCTTGGGTACAGCCCGTTGGACTGGAGATCTGGTCTGTTAGAGATTGAGGGTCAGTTGGCCTAGAGACCAGTATTTCTTCTTTGTGAGCATAGACTCAACAAAGGGCCTCAGGGAGTTCACTGGCCTCTGGCCCATACCAGGCATAATGTCCAGGGAAGCAGAGTGTAATACTCCGGATGGGCTGAGTTTTTGTCTGCTAATTTGCAAGAGAAGGGTTAATAAGAAACTTGCTGCTTTGCTGCTTCCTAGGGTTGTTAATTGTTGCTGCATTTTAATTTGACATCTGCCCTTGGAAGATGTTGCTATTCTATAAACCCTTGTAATCATTTGCATTCTGAGCCTGACACTGAAAAATACACCCAAGGAAAGAAACAGCTTGTTAGGGAGTTAGTGGAGTGGCCTGGGCGCACAACCAAGGAGCTGGGGCTACATTCCTGCTGAGATTCCCACTCCCATCAGCTAGCTGGGCTGAGGGACAGCTTCCAGGAACTTCATTGGGGACACAAGCTGGGGACAGGGCCATTCGGCCAGCTGATATTGTGCAAAAGTTTTGGCTCCATTCACTCTGCCTTCTTTCATTTACCCTAAGGCTGGGCACCAGTAAGGAAAGGATAAAGGTTACAGCAGGAAGCAAAACAACTAAGAGGTGTAGCTCAGGGAAAGGTGCCAAGGCTGCTGGGAAAAGGTGTCAAAAACCTGGAGAGTGGGTAACAGCTGCTCTATGGGGAATCAGGCTCCTAACCTGGCCCTTTCTCTGCTGTTTGAGCGGGATGGGAGTGGACAGGAGGTGGAGACCTGGAACAAACAGCCAATTGGAACAGGGAAAGGAAATCTTCAGATCCCTAGGCTTGAGCCATGGGTGTGGCTCAGGGAACTTGGACTGTATACGGGGAAATTCTCTGGGCCTGTACAGCTATACACTTCTTTTAACTGGTTCTTCTGGTTGTGGGGGGATGAGGAGAGGGGTGTGTGGCAGTTTATGTATGATGAACTACCTTAGGAGCTGTGTGGAGGGTTTGGGACAGTGCCTAGGGAGGGCTTATTCTCTCAGGAGGGTCAATGTGATAATTTAGGGTTCTGACAAGCCCCTTTTCGAATAGTGCAAAGCAGAAATTCTTGGTGATGTCTTTGATCCTTATCAGCCTAGCTAGAAAAGGTTGAGACTTATAGCTGAATATAATGAGATAGGACTAAGCTTGCTATGCTGGGGCTGTTCAGGGCCAGACCTCCTGAGAAGTATCGAAGGAGGTCCTTCTCCAAGCTCAGTGTGGATGGTTCTGGTCCTGCCTCTTATCCAGGTCTGCTAAATCCTCACATCCACTGTGCTCTAGCTTCCCCAGCAGTCCTGTAGCTTGGTTTCTGTGTAGGACATTCTGAGTACCATTTCCCATTCTTTGATTTGGTGTTCACTTGCAACAAATTTGGTTTCGCAGAGACTTCATATGTGTGTGTGTGTGTGACTTCGTGTGTGTGTGTGTGTGTGAGCGCCTGGATGCTATCTGTTAGCTTTTTTTTTTTCCCTTCAGGGCTAGTGCTCCATCACTTACAGCTCTACTTCCAACTTTTTTTTTTTCTTAGTAGTTGATTGGAAATAAGTGTCTCACTGACCTTTCTGTCTGGGCTGCTTCAAACCATGATCCTCAGACCTCAGCTTACTGAGTAGCTAGGATTACAGGTGTGAGCCACTGGTGCCTAGCTCTCAGGAGCTTCTTGAGGTTTTTTTGTACATCTTCAGCCCCTAGCCACCCTTCTGCCTGTAGAGATGACTAGGAAATGTCTGAGACACTTCCAGAGGAGCTGGTCTGCCAAACAGGGGATAGCAGGTGGACTGTGGCTATGAAGAGATTAAGCTAGGCTGAGGAGGCAGGGTTTAGGCTGGACCTAACAAAGAATTTCCTGAAGAAATGATTAGTGGATTGGTTACATCAGAGAACGAAGAGGCTGGCACTGGGACTGGGAAAGACGAGTGGGAATTGAAGCCATCTGCAGTCTGGTTTTCAGTAGCAGTATGGAGAACCGTGACTTCTCCCTACTGTCACTAAGGTGTATTAACATTGTGTACCAATTACTTCTTTGGACTTCATTATCTTACATCTTCTTCTTGGAGTTTTAGGTTTTATATCACTATTCAAAGTTCTGATTCTGAAGGAAAAAGGAAGGGGAGAAAATGAGAGAGAAGAGAGCAGGAGGGAAGGTTGGAAAACAAGAGGATTAGACATGAGGACTCCTGGCATGGCATTCAGAAGCTATTAGGAAGTTTTGAAATACCTGTCTAAAGCAGTGGTTCTCAGGGGGCCCTTCCCTCCCTCCCTCCCTCCCTCCCTCCCTCCCTCCCTCCTATTCCTTCTTCCTTCCCCTTCTTTTTTCCTCCAATGCCTTTCCTCCCCTTCTTCTTGCCTCCCGTCCTCTCTTCCCCTTTTCCTCCCTCCCCAAGGGGCATTTGGCAAGGTCTGAAGATATTTTTTTACAAGTGAGGAACTAGTGGGTAGAGGCCAGGATTGTCACTAAACACTCTACAAATATGCAAGTCAGTTCATCAACCCAAAATATTAACAGCTTAATGAAATCCTGATACAAAATTCTCCTATAGGTTGGAGATGATGAGAAGGAGTCTAGCTGCCCACCTAACTGCTAAGGAAGTTTGGATTGGATGAGCTAGGATGTAATGTTCTCCCTGCCCCATCTGGGCAGTGATGATGTCCAGTTTTATAGGATCAGAAAGCATGTATCCTGGTATTCTTCCATTCTTAATCCCCTTTACCACCTCACCCCTGCAGTGTATACATTGGGGAGGAACCAAGAAGTAAAAAATCTGCCCTACCTCCTCCCGAAGTGGGGTGGGCTGGAAAAACATGCAGAAGATGCTGGCTTTAATATTTGGCTTCTTGAGGTAAAACTGCTAGGCCAGTTCTGCTTAGTCAGGGCCCTGGAATGGAGACAGCTCATTTTAATGGCATGACTGGGTCTGCTCCTTTGCTGGGGACTGTGTGGTGTTGGGAATCACTTAATCCAGTCCTAAATCTTTTCTTGACCATGACTCATAGTTTACAGAGATTTGTATTGTTCCCACTGCAGTCTATTTAGCAGTAACTGAAATCCTCCGATTACTTCCCTCACCTCTGTAAAGGCATTTCCTAAATTCATTTTGGTTTCTCAAGAGCAATAAATAGTTGCCACAATCTGGGGGAAATTCAGCTTTCTGAGGAATCTCTTGCACAGAGTTTGGTTTTGCTCCTGTGCCCTGTCTAGGAGCATTTGCAGTCCTAGCAGCCTTGGTTCTCTGTCCAGCTGTGCTTCTGCCTGCTCTGCAGAATGGGGTCTGAGCTGCTCTGGGTGTAAGGTACATGCAGGCTTCTGTAGTATAGTCAGGGAGTTTAGCATTCACCATTTCGTCAGATGACAAAGTCTTATTCTTGTCAGTAGTACTTAAGTCTCTGGTCTCATACAATGCTATTGGAGTTAGAGAAGGAAAAGAAAAGATCTTGCTGCTGAGATTAAGCTGGGAGTGACATGGCTTATGCTATTATTGTACTCTAGAAAAATCTAGTGCTTTCTGGAGGGCATAGCTGTAAGAAAGCGTGTCTGCAAGTTTTATGCTCTTCAAAGACAAGGACTATGTTTTGGGCTTTTCTGAGATGTTTTTTCTGGTGAGATTTTAAAAATGGATCCCTAGAAGCAAGCACTCTCCCACCTCTACAATCTGGCCCAGTTTCCTCCCAAGCCTTTTACACTTCCCTTTGTCACTTCAGGAGGGTTTGTGCCAAAGGGGAGGAGTGATAGTTGTCTTTTGGCTGAGGTCAGCAGTATAGGAAATAGCGGTACACTACGGTAGAGAAATTTATTGAATGAGCCATTACTGAGTCTTTACCATTTGCTTATCACTGTTCTGGTTCTGAGCTTGCCTCAGACAAGATCCCTATTCTATAAGACTTGTTGATTATGTAACAGGTGAGAGGGAGATCTGGCAAAGCCCTATCCCCTAAAGTCTTTGGAGTTTCTCCATGTGTTACCTCTGAAACTCAGTCCCAGAGACCCACTGAGATTGGCTTAAAGAGACAGCTATGTGACCCATAAAAGCCTAGTAGTACATATCTCTGGGGGAACTTAACCAGCCGAGGGGAACTGGAGCCAGCAACAGACTCCTAGGGTTGGCTTCATCCTCTGGCTGGGCACAGGCAGGGGTAGCTGAGCTCCTCTTGTGCAATCCCTGAATTTATAAAGCAGAGGCCAGACAAGGCTGAGCTGAACTGAACTGGAGATGGGGATTGGGGGTAGTGGCGGGGGGAAGGGTGTCAGCTTCTAGACTTGGAGCCAGGATCTGTTTGTAGCCTCCCCTCTGCAGATGGGCAGCTGCATGACTCATGAACTGAAGGGGCCAGGCTGAAGCCATTCTCCTTGGTTCACAGGAATTCTGCTTGTGTGCGTGCGTGCGTGCGTGCGTGCGTGCGTGTGTGTGTGTGTGTGTGTGTGTGTGTGTGTGTGTGTTTTCATCTTTCCTTCTCTCCCTTCTCAAACTTTTCTTCTTTGCAGGAGAGCTGCCCAAGGAGAATCCATATGAGGATGTGGACTTGAAGAACCGAAGAGCCGGACGAAAATCCCAGCAACTGTCTGAGAACTCCTTAGATTCTTTGCATAGGATGTGGAGTCCTCAAGACAGGAAGTACAACAACCCTCCCATGCAGGTAATGCAGTCCTGATGTGGGCCAGCAGGAGGGCCACAGTGGGGGTCTGTGCTCTCAGTGTGTGGGCCCAGTTCTCACTGAGGCTTTCTTCTTCATTAGTCAAAAGAGGTTGTCAGGAAAGAGTTCTGTACTCAGGAACTTCCACCATATTGAATCCTCTGTGGGCAATTGGGATGTGCTGCCTTCTTTCTCTTACAGCTTGAGCTCTGAGCTGCAAAAAATTTAAGCCAGGAGTCCCTGAAGTCCCTCCCTTGTCAGTATTCTTCCTATCCTCCATGGGAAATGAGAAGACAGGACCCTAGTTATTCAATTCTTTTCAGAAATTGTCTCAGTATTAACATTTGTTGGCCAGGAATAGGTCACAAACCAGATTTGGGAAGCCTGTTGAATCTGAAGCCACTCCTATTAGATGAGTAAGAATAAGTCTCTGAAGAATGGACTGAAGAAGTTAGAATGAAAGGAAAGGTGAGAGGTCAGAGGGATCTCTTAGACATAAGTTCATTCTATTCTTACCCAGGAAGCAGGAAAAGCTAAGAAGGTAGTGGAGCAAGCCTTTTTGACCTACTCAGATAACCCTTAATTCTGCAAATGGAGGGACTTGGATATTTTATAGCATTAACCAGAGAATATATAAATGATTTTTTTCTGACTTTGGAGTCCTTTCTAAAGTACTGTGTTTAAACAAGTTTTCATTGAATTTGTTTGGCCAAACTGATTGGGTAGGGAGAAGAAACTGAGAGCTATGGAGAGGAGGGTTTGCTGACAAATGAGGAAAGAGAAATCCGGCCCCCGTGTGAGGGGGATGAGGGGGCACCTGCCTTCTCAGAAGTGTGTGGGAATCCATTTTAAGGCACCATGGATTGAAAGGCATCAATCTAGATGGAAAGCATCATTCTGTAGGGAGAGAGGGACAAGGAAGTTGATGAGGGCTAGGAAGAGAGGGGCAGCCCAGGGCCTTGTGGAGAAAGATCCAATTGAATATAAAACCTGCCTTGCCCAGTATTGGTGGCCAGAGCCTAGAGCCCTTGTGTTGTCCCTGGAGAAAGTCAGTATGGCGGGGCTGGGAAGGTGGCTCAGTGGTAGAGCACTTGCCTTGCATGCCTGAGGCCCTGGGTTTGATTCCTCAGCACCACATAAGCAAAAAGAAAAAAGC